CACCCCACCTCCACCACTGCTCCGACGACTACTCCGATGATCGGCGACCACTCCGGCGACTGTTCTCCAGTCACAGATTAAAATTTTTGTAGGTCACAGATTATTTCGAGGTCACAAATCAAAATTTTATAAGTCACAATTTTTTCATCAGTCATAAATCAAAAAATTTGTAAGTCACGAATTATTTCGAGATTACAAATCTAAAATTTTATAAGTCACAGATTATTTTATTGGTCACATTTCAAAAAATTTATAGGTCGCAATTGACTACATTGATCACTGATCAAAAAAATTATAGGTCACAAATTTTTAATTGGTCACAAGTTAAAAAAAATTATAGGCCACAGAGATTACATATTCCAAATTTGTTGGTCGCAGATTATATTTTGAGTCACAGATTAACGAATTTTAAGGTTACGGACCACATAGTTGGTCACATACACCTAAACACCCGTCCCCCAATCCCAGTTAACCACCTATACTTGGTCACATGTCACAAATCGAAATAGTTGGTCACATACACTATGAAGATTTGAGAAAAAACATAAAATGTACCAAGTTGTAAATAAATTTGAGAAAAAATGAAGATTTATATCAAATCGACCATTAATGAGAAAGTGTTAGTTTTCGGCTCCAAATATTCTGCCTTGGACGGTCGGAACAACAGCAACTACTAGAGCAGAGGCAAAGCTGATCCTCCTTCAAATCCATTTTAGATTAGATTTGGATCATCGTTGAGCTCCAAATCTGGCCATTAAAAGAAAATGTCAAGTTCTCAAACCCTTGGAGGACCGTCCCGATGTGGCTGGGTACTGGGGCAGTCGTTAGACAAGATCATCAAAAACGTGGCTTGGAGGAAGCACTCCCAGCTAGTGTCCACATGCAAATATGTTCTTGATAAGCTTGATTCTTTGCCCGATTTACCCGACGTTCCCGCATCCTGTTCCACCCTCTACGGTCTATCTTCTACCGATGCCAAATTGGTTCTCCACCCCTGTCATCATGGCTATTGAATCCGCCTCCCCAAAGGTTGTTGACCCTGCCCTAGATTGTGCCTTCCGACTCTTCTCCTTTGGACTCATCCGTGGCTGCGAAATCGACTTCACTGAAGCTAAAGATAAGTCTTCCCTTATTTTTTGCCTCTTAGATTCCATTTGTAAATGTACGGGCATGGGCGATGAGAACATTGAGCTTGCTTCCCTCATGGCTCTGTTCTTTGCTATTCGATCCCCCTTTATCTATATTCGGGGTGGTTGTCTTGTCTACATTGTCAGGTCTTGTTACAATGTGTACTTGGGTGGCCAAAACGACACCAATCAGATCTGTACAAAGTCGATTCTTGCTTAGATGATGATAATGTTGGATAAAATAACAGTAAAGTGCAGAAAAACTTATCAAAAGATCGAGTCTCGTGACAGCACGATGTCAAAAAGCGAAATTGCCCGTAGATAACTGCTGCGAACTCTGAGGACAATCACCTCCAGAATACAACGATCATCTAAACATATTGT